CTAACGAAGGTCTTAAGGAATATATAGAGCTTTTGCATTCGAGGAAAAAGGAACTGTTCGTGGTAACCAACAGTCCTTTTACATTTATGTGAGTTGACGATTTTCCTTCGTTCTATCTCGCTTGCCATGAGTAGCCTCCACTGCACGTTGAATTCAACCGTTCCTTCAGCAATGTTGGAATGTCGTATATGCTGGGTGAGGATTGGCGAAAATACTTCACATATATAGTCGTGTTAGCAAAAAAGCCAACATTTTTCAAAGGGCGGGAACCGTTTCGGTAAGTTCCTCAGGGCGTATCTTTGTCTTTCATGAAACAAGCTCTTAAACAGGCCAATTCAGAATTTATGATCCTGATTTGGATATGATGAGGTTTGAGAAAGTTCATCGCTTGGAGGAGGGTCAGATATACTCAGGGGTAAGTGTCTTGCTAAAAACCCCGAGTTTCTTTTTTCATTCGTCATCAACGCTCTAACTCAGCTTTAGGGAAATATTGACGAGCTGTCTACTCGCGCTGGTTTCAAAGACAAGGGCGTGCTCTACTTTGGTGATCATATCTATACCGACCTTGCTGACCCAATTCTGAGGTATGGCCCTTGCAAAATCCCATCATGTTCTTTTTTCTCGAATAAAGAATTGTTGGCACGTTTCCCTTTGATCCGTTCCTTTTTAGGCTGGGATGGCGTACCGCAGCCGTTGTACCTGAGCTGGCTCGAGAAATAAGAGTACAGAATGGCGAATCCTATCAGTAAGCGGTGAACCAAGCCGACAGAATGTAAATTCGGCATCACGTTGGAACTATCGTAATCTAGTTCGCGCATCTGATAAAACGCAAGCCGTTGCACGCAAACACTGGACATTTGGATTTGACTCCTGAAACCTTCCTTATGCTAATGGGTCGCGACAAGGCCCACTAGCATAAGGAAGGCCTCTCGTTATGCGCCGAAACCGGACTTTGAATGTCTCTAACGCAATGCTTAAGCTACATTCTTGTTACGTTCTTGCGCCAAACCGAAACCATTTGTTCACGGAATTAATTTCGGTAAACTCAGGAAAGTTATACAATGGTTGGCAATGCTCACTGCAATCGTGGAATTGTATCGACCAGAATCACTGCAAGACGCGGAATCTGCAAAAGTAATCGAAGAATGGCAGGCAGAAAGAAGTCTTTACAGGTTCAGTTGCGATCTGGTTGAATTAGAGATAGAGAGTTGAGTGAATTAGAGAAGGAAAGTTGATCATAGTAGATTTGTTATATTGACACTGTGTTTCCCTCACGTCGCGCGGTGTACAGCCAAACTGGTGGCTCCAAATGCTGGAATACTTTGTACTTATAATGACTGCGAATCATTCTATGATAGTAGTGTCAATATGTGTGCTTCTACGTGGTTGAGTCAGGCTCATTGTTGCAGAGAGGAGGCCAAAGCACTGTTCAACCCACAATTTGGATCTTTATTCAGAACTTATCACAACATGACACATTTTTCGAAGAGGCTCCATAGGTGAGTTAATTTTTCTTAGGCTGTTGTCACACTTGGAGATGATGAAAAGCACTCGTTAGACTGAGGAATAGAGTGTGTGTGCCCAGACTGTAAAGTAGAATTGATAGTTCAAGTGACTTGCTATGCTGACGAAAAAATCGGGCCTGATTGGTTTCCCGATGTCCGATTGGGGACAATGGACACAGTGTGTTTGGCACCACAAACTGTTCTCTTCTTTTTTCCATTGAGAACTTGTTCTCTCGGCGGAGCAGAGAGAAGTACCTCAGATACATCGGAGTACGCGCGCAATTCCATTCCCCTGTAAAGGAAACGGACCTGAATAGAAGCGGTAGAATTCAGAGTGGGTCTCCGCAATTCGATGTGGCTTACCAATACACACGTTTACCCATTTTCCCCAGTATCTGGGCTGTTTTGTAATTGAATGCGAGATTTTGGCCCTCAGTACCCCTCATCTCGATGCGCGCTACGCCCACTTTGAGCAGGGCTTCGCCTAGCTGATATGTGTTTTGTGGTTCTTGAACCATGCCCCACCACCCCCAACTTAACCCGAACGTTGTAGGTGGTTCTTCGGGTAGCACCGAATTTAGTGACAGACGGACAGACAAAGAGCATGATATAGAAGGGATAGGGAAGTAAACATGAAATAACTACTCATAGTCGATCAAAAAAAGAAAGAGCTGTTGCAAGGGCTACCGAAGCGCCGGCAACATCGGTTAACTCGTTCAGCGGGAGAGCGAAGAGGGCTCTTTTCTGTGATTTGTGACCATTTTGCTTGTTTTTCTTTCACAGCGCACCATTTAACATCTCTACATTCACTTTCATTTCAACTCGTTTTTGGGCTGCACCCCCTCCCCCGAATTGGCTGCGCGTGGGTCCATGCCTTCGACTGCAGCTCTTTAACAGTGAGCCAGGCCAGAGGGTTCGCTATCTCTTCTTGTTCTATCGCGAAAGTCAAGGGACAAAAAGTAGCTTCCTCCATCTCTCCCCCCCCCCTTCCCACCCCCAACAGCCTTCAAAGAAAGCGGATGATTACAGATTATCCGACGTTTATACCAGCCGTGTGCCAAACCTGCTCAACTACGACATCCGCCATTGTTTTTTCCCTCGTCGTAATGCTCTACCTCATGAGAGTCTGCACTCTGTTCCTATCAACTCGGATTCCATACTTGATATTCTGAAACGCAAAGAGCAACTACGTGGAGATGTTGAGCATCCTTGAAGAGCTCCCTTCTCGGTAATCATTCTTTTCGTTGAAATTAATCCATTGTTTTGATAGTTCACGAGGATTCTTTGCTTTCTTTTGACTTGCAATTTTTTAGGAAACGCTGCTGCTCTATGGGGTCCACCCCGCTCGGGCAAGCAACTTGTGAGGTTCGAAAACTGATCGCGAAACGCTAACACTATAGTTAACTGCTACGTTTTTCGTCTTTGGACAGAAACATTTAGTTCTGTAGGCTGCTCTTCTCTTGGATAATATGTACATACATCTATGCGTGGAGGAGTTTCAGTTTTGACGTCGGCCTCCCCTGCGCGCCATGCAGTTTCCACTGAAGATCCGATTTGGTTGCTCATTATTGAAAGCCAGAGTCATCTTCTAGGTCGATAGAGTAAGAGGCTGACAGACCGCCACGCCTAATAGATATTCTCCTTGTAAATAACCAGTTTTGTACTTCGGCAGCTACTGAGCCCCCTTTCCTGCGTATTCTTCTGGCCTTCTTCTGTGCTCACTTCTACTTATGAATTCAATACCTCATGGAGGGGAGGGGGTGCGTATAGACAACAAGAAAGTGTAGTAGGGGCCTTATCGAGATTATGACATAGCTTAAAATGATACCTCAGCAGTGATTTGTATCCCAAACTTGTTGCCAATTGGTTTTCCATCCCCTCCCTCCCGGCTGCTTCCTTGCATTTGCCCTCCAGCCGACAAACCAGCACACAGAGCTATGGTTACATAATAGAAGGGTAGAGAAATGTAGTCACGCATGAGCTGATGAACAGTGTTATATATTGTTGCGATTGTCAGTGATTTGTAGATATGTAAATAATCACGAAATCGGCGAAAGCGGGGCAATAACACTGGCGCAATTACTACACATGTGATTCGCAGAAAAAAGTTCAGTCTTGATCAATCAGTAATCAAGCTTTCTAAACCCTCTCACCCTTCTTCCTTCCTGACCCAATTGATAGGGCAAACATGCATTTTTGCTTCTGACTACGATTCAGTTGTAGTGGGACTCAAATGTGTTGTGGATCTTCAGGCATTTGGTGGTCATAGATTATTGAATGTTCTTTGGAAGTAACGCGCCCCTTTTAGCGTGTCCCAGATCATGTAGCCTAAACTACTCATATGTCATATTTGCCTTGTATATTTACGTGTAAAGAAAGTTGTGATTTTCTCATAGAACTGCCTCTAATTTTCGGTGCCTTATAAAGCAACTGTAAATAAATATATCTCCGTTTACTTTCTGAAGAACATTTGTTCTATTCGATTGGTTGTTTATTCACGTTAGGTTTGACTACGCGTATATTGACAGGCGGTTTTCTTGTCTGCAAATAAGGGTGTAGCTCTATCCAATCACTGGACCATCTTTTTATTGTTCTTAAAGAGATATATTCATCCCCGCTATTCAAAGAGCCACAAGCCCTTCCGCTTGTAAGCCACCACAAAAAAAACCGAAAAGAATGGAGTGTCCGAGAGCTTCTCGTACTGTAGCTTGCTACCTGACAGTGGACACGCTGTTCTCATAGTCAGGTCTCATTGGAGCTGGTCTCATCGTATTGCACAAAACCAGCTTTCTCCGCGAGACCAATCCAGGCGCTCATCCTGTACGAAGTCCGTCTAGAGAATTAGGCCCACAAGAGATGCGCAGAATCAGTTCCGTAGTAGACTAGGACACGATCTCTCAGGTGGCGGTACGAAGATGGGCCGAACTTTTCGCAGCGAGGACTTCTAGCTTCCGACGCGACTCACGGCTACTGTCGATCTTGACGCCATCTGCGCTTTACTCGAAGATAGTTCGAGGCGATTGTCACATTATCTGGCATTGCCTTTAGTGCTACCATACACAAATCCTTCAGGCCTCTCTCACAAGGGAGGTCTTTCAGGGCAAGCCGCGCTTTTTCAAAACGGTTTTTTGCATATTGTAGGAACGCATGTATGGACCACAAAACCATGTTTCATTTTCGCTGAACGGTTCCCTGATGGCCAAAAAAGGTCGAAAAAATTGTTAAGAATGGGCGGTTTTTACAGCTTTGGAGTGACGTTTCGGACTTGTACAGAAGATCACCTGCATATTGAAGGGTGCTGATGAAGATGGTATCGAAAACAAGTGAAATTCGCCAAAAATTGAAGTACTGTCAGGTAGTGCTGGAAAAAGTGGAGTTTTCATAAGCGTCGTCGGCATGATAGCGTCCGCAATGATCTGGTGGTCGAGGAGATAGCGGGATGGGAGGAAGGAAGGGACTTTCTGGTTCGACCTCCCTCCATGGCAGAGTTTTTTTTTGCATTTTTGGATTGTCACTTCCAAATGAGCGCCAAATTGCTCAGCGTCAAATTTAACGCTATATTCACAATCAGGACCATCAGCAGCCCTGCTAATGGGTTTACTATCAAAAACTGGTAGAATAAATCTGTAGCGATGCGAATAGTTTTGCTGTAGCCTGACCAAGATTTCAGCACTTTTTATTAGGCTTACGTTTCGGCCTCTTCGCCTTCGTCAGAGCCTGAAAGTCGAAAAGCAATTGAGACCGATCCTTTCATGAGCCAAACAATCCTGAAGACAATTTCTCCAGACTACTAAACCAACAGGCGGTATCGATTGAACCAAGAGGGCTACAAGGCTTACCTAGATCTTTGTCGCCAAGGCGCAAGATCGACCACCCAAGAAGCAGACTTTTGCGTGGAATGAGCGAACCTATCTCTCCTCCCTGACCTCACCGAAACTCAAAACCTACAGAGGTCGAGGAAGGGCGCCAGGTCACGGGTTACGGCTACACATTCTTCTTTCCTATTGATTTTGGGGTCCCTAGCAGCAATCCAAAACGCCTCCAGCGTTTTCCGCGCGGTGGTCTCCTCTTCTAGAGCCAAGATGGTAACCGACACCGTGAATGCAACATCCCCATGGAACTGAACCCGATGCATTCCCAATGGGGTTTGAGTGCGTGACTTTTTGAGCCTCTTCATGTGTTCCTTGATGCGTGTGCGAAGAGGGCGCCCCGTCCCACCTATGTATTCGTTGCCGCAGTCTGGTGATGCAAAAGTTGTCGTATGGACGACTGCGAACGAGTCGTCGCTTGAGGTTTCCTGGGGGTATTTCCACAATCCTTACATCTTCCTGTAGGTCACACCT